GTCGGCGATCGTGGCGGCGATGCCGACTCCTGCCGCGACGCAGACGACCGCCGCGACGCACCAGGCGCGTTGGACGCATCCTACAAAGTCGCGCGTCCGGCAAAGCACTTTGGGGCGTCCATGCAGTCGAGACGCGCACCGAGGACCGCTTGTCCGTCGCCGTTTCGAGGGTCTCGCGCTGAGAGAGCCGCTTGGCCGCGGCCGCGGTGTGGACGGGGGGTTTGCTGTTGCGGTCCGAGACGCGCATGCGCCGGAGGACCGCGGGCGCGGGCGCCTTGGGCGGCTTCTGCTCCGAGACGCGCGTCGACCGGCGCGTCGCGACGGTCGGCGGCGGCGGCTCGTCGCGCGAGTTGGACTGCGCGTTTTCGTCGTTCTCCGATTCGTCGGCCTCCACAGCGTCGTCATCCGCAGCCTCGTCTGCCTCAGAAGCCTCGTCGGCCTTCGCAGCCTCGTCGGCCTTTGCAGCCTCGGCCTTCGCAGCCTCGTCGGGCTCTGCAGCCTCGTCGTCGTCCGCAGCGTTGGCGTCATCCGCAGCCTCGTCGGCCTCAGCAGCCTCGGCCTTCGCAGCCTCGTCGGACTCCACAGCCTCGTCGGACTCCGCAGGATCGTCGGCCCCATCGTCGTCCGCAGCCTCATCGTCATCCGGCGCCTCGTCGATCGGCCGCGACGCGCCCCGGGGACGCGGCGTGCGCCCCGGCGAGGCGCGGTCGTCCGCAGCATTGGCGTCATCCAGCGCCTCATCGGCCTCCGCAGCCTCGTCGGCCTTCACAGCCTCGTCGTCCTCCGCAGCCTCGTCGTCCTCCGCAGCCTCGTCGTCATCCGGCGCCTCGTCGATCGGTCCCGACGCACCTTTGCGACGCGGCGTGCGCCCCGGCGAGGCGCGGTCGTCCGGCAGCGCGCGCTTGTCGAGCGAGGCGCGCCGGTCGAGGCAATCGGCGAACTCTGCGTCTTCGTCGTCCTCGCCGGGCTTGTCGTCCGGCGGTGCGTCGTCGACCATCATCGCGTCGTCGTCGTCGTCGAGGGCGGGACTCGTGTCGTAGAATTCCTGCTCCGCGGCCGCGCCGCCCGCCGGCGCATCGTCGGCGGCGGCGTCGACGTCGGCACTCTCGCCGCCCGCCGCCGCGACGTCAGCGCCCTCGTCGACTTCGACGTCGGCGCCCTCGGCGCCCCCGGCGCCCTCGGCGTCCATGTTGCCCTCGTCGCCCTCATCGCCCGCAGCGTCGCCCGCAGCGTCGTCAGCGCCCGCGGCGTCGTTGCCGGCGTCGCCGCGCGGCTCGGCAGCCGAACCGCCGCCACCCGGAGCCGGCGCGTCGTCGCCGGACCCGTCATCGTCCTCGCGCCGGTCTCCTTCGGAAAAAACTGCATCCTCGGCCTCGGCCTCGTCATCGTCCTCGTCGTCTTCCGCGTCTGGCAGCTCGGCGTCTTCTTGCGCGTCGTCTGCGTCTCCGCGCGCTTCGCCGGCGGGCGCGTCCGCTTCCTCGCCGCTCGCGGGCGCGTTCGCGGCCTCGACGCTCGCGTCGTCGGTCAAGTCGCCTTCGACGCCCATGTCTTCCGCCACCACGGCGCCCGCGGCAGCGTCGGCAGCGTCGGCAGGGCCGTCGACGCCAGCCTCGTCCACGTCGTCCATCTCCGATCGCTCGTCCGGGTCGTCGTGGCGGTCGTCGACGACGTCGGCGTCGTCGAGGTCGAGGTCCTCGTCGCTGTCGGCAGCGTCGTCGAGGTCCTCGTCGCCGTCCGCTTGCTCCGTCGGCTGCTCGGCGAGGAGGCCCGCGGCCTTGTCGTCGTCGGCCACGTCGAGGGCCTCGGCCTCTTCGTCGCCGGCCACGCCCCCGGCCCCTGCGCCAGCCTCGACAGCCCGCGCCGCATCGTCGTCCTGCGCTGCGTCCTCGTCGGCGTCGTTGACGACGGCGTCGACGTCGATGTCGTCAACGGCGTCGTCGACGTCGATGTCGTCGTCGAGATCATCGTCGACATCGTCGTCGTCGTCATCGTCGTCGTCGTCGTCATCGTCGCCGCCGCCGCCGCCGCCGAGGTCGTCGCCTCCTCGCTGCAGCGGCTGCTTGGCGACCGCCGCCTCGGCTTCGTCGTCGTCGGCCGCGTCGTCGGCCGGCTCGTCGGCCTCGCCCTCGCCGTCGTCGCCTTGGTCGACGTCCTCGAGCGCCGCGCCGACGACGGCGTCGTCAAAGTCATCCTCATCCTCGTCGTCTTCGACGCGCACGGCCGGCGACATCTCCGAGGCCTCGTCCGGGGACTCGCCGTCGTCCGGCGACTTGCCGTCGTCCGATGAGAAGGCGAGCTGCGGCGCAAATGCAGCGGCGTCGTCGGCGACGCCCTCCTGCGCCTCCGCCCACTGCGGCGCAGGCGTCATCTCGACGGACTGCTCGTCTCCGTCGTCGTCGTCGTCGTCGCTGACGTCGTCGTCGTCGTCATCGTCGTCGTCGTCGTCGTCGTAGTCGTCCTCGGGCGAGACGACCTCGGCCTCGAGCGAGGTGGCGTCGTCGTGCTCCATGGCGTCGACGACGTGCGACGCGACGGGGCTCGGCAAGTCGTCGACGGCCATGGCCTCGTCGTCGTCCTCGTCGTCGTCCTCGATGCGCACCACGGACGGCTGCGGCGACTCGGCCATCTCCTCGTCGCCGTCGTCGGGCGGCGCCGCGTCGTGCGGCGCTGCGACGTCGACGAAGTCGCCGCTGCCGCCGCTGGCGAAGTCGTCGCCGCTGCCGCCGCCGCCGCCGCTGCCGCCGCCGTCGTCGCCCGCGCCGCCGTCGTCGTCCGGCGCATCCTGCGGCGGCCACGGCGTCGGCACGGCGCCCCAGAAGATGGCCACCGCCGGTGGGGCGGCCGCGTCCGGGGTCCGGCCGCCGGCGTCGCCGTCGGGCGCGCCGTCGTCGCCGTCGGGCGCGCCGTCGTCGGGCGTGTCGCCGTCGTCGGGCGCGTCGTAGTCGTCAAAGCTTGTCGCGTCGAAGCGGCGCTTCGCCGCCGCCGCCGCCGCGGGCGCCTCGTCGAGGAGCGCCGCGCGGATGCACGGTGGCAGCGCCTGCGCGGCGAAGCGCGCCGTCGCGGCGACGCGGCCGCCGGCGGGCGCGCCGCGCGCGGCGACGACGGCGGCGGCGACGCGGCCGCGGTGCAGCGCCACGCCGACGCGCGCCGCGCGCGCGCGCGCGCGGTCCGCCGGCGCCGCCGAGCGCGCCGCGAGGAATTCGTCGAGCGCCGCCTCCTCTGCTCGGCTGAGGGCTACGTCGAGGAGCGCGCCGTGCTGGCCCGCGTCCCAGAGCGCGGCGAAGACGCGGCGCCGCGCGGCGCCGACGCCCGCCGCGCCGCGAAGCGCCTCGAGCGCGCGGTGCGGCCTGCCCAGCGCGAGCTGCGCCGTCGCTGAAACTGCCGCAAACTCCTACGCGCGCCGCGGTCCGTCGCCCGCTCGGCAGCCGCGTCCCCAGAGGGCCGCCCAGCGCACCGTCGTCGCGAGCGCGTCGGTCTGCATGAGCGCGATGCAGGCGAGCGCCTCTTGCGGCGCGGACGCGGCGAGGCGCGCGATTCGCCGCGCGACGAGGAGGCGCTTGCGCTCGTCGCCGCGCCAGGCCTGGCGCTGCTTCGACGCGGCGTCGCAGGCGAGGCGCGTCGCGAACGCCACAGTGCGCGCGACGGCGGCGCCGGGGCCGGCCGGCGCGGCGGCTGCCTCGGCGCGGAGGCCGTCGGCCCAGTCAAGGAGCCATGCCACCTCGGCATCGTGCGGCGCTACGCCGGCGGCGGCGCAGACATCGCGTAGCGCGTCGCGGCCCGCCGCCGCCGCGTCGGCGGCGGCGCCCGGCGGCACGGCGCCGCAGGCCTCGTACGCGGCGCGGTCCGCCTCGGCGTAGGCCAACAGCGCCGCCGCGGGCCCGGCGCGCTCCGCCGCCGCGCCGCGCGGCACGTGGGCCGCCTCGGGCGGCGCCCCGGACGGCGCCGCGTCCGAGACGAGGGCGCGCACGTCGAGGTGCGGATAGGCCAGCGGCTCGCCCGTGGCGTCGCCGTCGCGGGCGTGCGCGGCGAGCACGAGCGACTCGAGGAGTGGCGCGCCGTCGGCGGCGTCGGCGCGGCAGGCGCGCCGGCGCGCCGCGTACCGCGCGGCGACCCAGCGCCGCCGCGGCGCGTCGCCGCCCAGGACTTCGCGCTGCCGCCGCCGCGCCGCGCGGAGCCACACCGCCAGGCGCAGCGCCGCCACGAGACGGGCCGCGTCGTCGCGCAGAGCCCCCAGCTGCGTCGCCGCCTTGGCCCACGCGCGCTCCGCCAGCGGCTCCTACGACGGCGGGCGGTACGCGCGCGGGCGCCTCGAGGACCTTTCGGGCATCGACGCCGGCGGGGCACGTCCTTGCGCGGCGAGGCCACCGAGGCGAGGATGCGCGCGGCCAGGAGCTCTGCGCCGCGGCTGCGCTCGAGGGCGTCCCAGAGCGCGTCGTCGTCGGCGGCGGCGTCGCCGGCGGCGGCCCAAGCCGCCTCGAGCTGCGCGCCGCCGTGCGCGCGCAGGCTCGCCACCTCGCGCTCGCAGAAGTCGACGTGCAGCCGCCACTGCTGCCGCAGCTCCGCCTCGCCGACGCGCGCGCGCCGCAGAGCCTCGGTCATCGAGTCCTCCGCAGGCCTTCGCCTTTTGCCCGAACCGAAAGACTCTCTCTCTCTCTCTATGGACCCACAAACTAGAAGCAGGGCCTCACTCTTCTCACAAAGTAGAAGCAGGGCCTGCACTCTTCTGCGGCGGCACTGCTGCGTGTTGCCACAACGTCGAATACCATTCGACCGCCGCGTCTGGGCTTTTTTCGTGCCTGTATCGCTCCGCCGCAGAGGCACCCCACCCCGGACGCAACTCCGAACTTCGCGCAGTCTGCGGCGCAGACGATCGTCGGCCGATTCGTCGGGTCCACATTGCAATTACGGGGACTAAAAATGGCGTTTAAATAACAAATCGATTCTGCTGTCATGAATCCATAACTACATTTCGGCGATTGGTCGGTCTGTTATGGATCAAGGATTTCTTGGCGTAGAGGTCATCGCGTTTGTCTTACACACAAAAGGTCGCGGGTTCGATCCCCGCAGAGATTATCTTTTTGATGGAAGATGGAAGTCACCACATCTTTTTTTTGATTATTTTTGACTCTTATTGAACAATTTAGACTTTATCAGATCCATCTTATCGTTATTTTTATTTTTGCCCCTATTATTTTAAAAGCTATTTCGTTAAACCTTTTCTCACCAAGCTTAAAAAGGGGTCTTGAGCTAGCTCGCGACGTAGGCCGACCTGCCGCTGCGACGAGAGCGTCGAGACGACTGCCCCGTTCGCGTGGCCTTGCGAAGGCGACGCTTCGAGTGCAGCGACAAGCCTGTCGACCGCGAGGAGCATCTCTCTGATTAATTTTGTAGTACGCATGGCTTGGATGCCGCGGCCCTGAGTCGTCGACGGCCAAAGCCGCGTGCGCGCTCTCGAGCCGCCCCGCTGGTCGGGCCGCGCCGCCATAATGACCCAAGTCGCGCGCAACGCCGCAAAAGGACTTGGTCCGGTCAACTTAACGCAACAGGGCCTGCTCCGGCCAAACCTACGCTCAACAGCAGCTTTCGTGCGCTTTGGTGGTCGCCCGCCCAGTTGAAGCGACAGGAACGGGAGGAGGACGCGGGCCACCATTCCTCTGATCGACAAGGAGTCAGTCAGCTGGCGAAGCGACGTACATGAAAGGGTGGAACAATCACCATGTCCTCGTCAATTTTCAAATCCCGGACATCCCGAGACGACAGCTTGACGAGAGCTGCACAAGTCGGCCGAGACGGGCCGGACGGGAGACCAAAAGACGATGTCGAGAAAACGGCGCTGTGCGTTTTGGGATTTCCGTTTGAAGAAGTCCTCAAGAAGGGTCTTGGAAAGAGAGACAGCCGCTCTCCTCTTGTGCTGTGCTCCTGCTGCTCGTATGGCATGGCTCGGTGATACGGCGTGGATGGACATCAACACGACCCGCATGATCTTCCATGGGTCGAATAGGATGAGTGATATAGTCGCGCGGCTCCCGCCCTCGGGAGTAAATCTCTAAGGGTCCTCGGTGCTCCAGCGTCCTTGGGCCATCTGGATCGTCGGCATGGCCACAGCTCGAGCGGCCCCAGGCCCCCCGAAGAAGAGCGGACCGCCGCCACTCGTCGACCTCAATTCCGACCGTCGGGTGCATCAAGTCTTGTGCGACAGTCGACCGACACTCGCACACGACCGGATGTGCATGTGCTGAAACGCGTGCGGTGCATCGTGCGGTGCTTTCTATAGGATGGGGGAAGGCACGTCCGAGCGGAGATTGTTTGATAACACAGACATAATTAGATGTGTCGACAAAAACACAGTGGGGTGCGGCGTTGCCAGCTTAGATGGTGGAGCATGTCGGGTCCTTGGTCGGGTCACACGTCGGCGCGAAGCCCGGCAGGAGCTTCTCGCGGAGGTAATCGTTGAGGAACATCTCGTTCGGGTCGAGGCGCTTGCGCACCGCCATGAACTCGTCGACCGGCAGGCCCGAGTCCTTGTAGTACTGGTAGTCCACAAGGTTCTCCTTGGCCCAGTGCGGGCGGCCGTGGAACGACTGCAGCGCCGTGTCGTACGCGGCGGTCTGCTCGCGCCACTCGGACATGGGCGGCAGCGGGCCCGTCATCGTGTTCGAGACGTACGCGACCTCGAACGACGAGCAATGGCCGAAGCCGTAGCACGGCATCAGGAACGAGTTGTCCGAGTTGAGGTATCGCTCGTGGACCCAGAAGTCCGTATGCGGCTTGATGGGCGAGTTGCGCACGGCCTTGACGAACGCGTCGAGCGCTTCGTGCTCCTTCGTCACGGGTACGAAGTACTCCTTGTTGTAGATGGGCTGCGCGCGCATGTCGTCGGCGTGCGTGTACGACAGGTACGAGATGTCCGAGCAGTTGTCCCAGCGGAGGACGAGCGGCATGCCGTCGGGGCCGAACTCCTCGTGGAGCGCGTCCTCCCACTGCAGGACGGCCGTGCGGCACGGCTGGGTCTGCTTCTCGGACGCCTCCTTGGTCGTCGGCTCCCACGTCATGAGCCAGACCTTGTCGGTGTACGGGTGCCAGTACCAGTGGAAGCGCGGGTGGTCGCGCCACTTCGGCAGGTGGTCCTTACGGAACTCGGCCATCGAGTTCACCTCCCAGCGCGCGCGCTTGAGGTAGAACTGCTGCGTGATCGGGAGCGTCACCTCGACGACGATGCCGACGAGGCCGAGGCCCGTGCGGATGGCACGGAGCTCGTCCGACTCGTCCGTCTTGCCCGTCATGTCCAAGAACTCGCCGTTGGCCTGGAGCAGCTTGATGTTCTGCGTCAGCGACGCGAACGTGCCGACGTTGATCTGCGAGCCGTGGTAGCCGACGGAGACGGCGCCGCCAACCGTGAGCGTCTGGATGCCGCCCGACATCCAGTTCAGGGCGAGGCCCTCCTTGGCCAGCACGACGTTGAGCAGCTTGAACGTCACGCCGGCCTGCACGCGCACCGAGTTGGTCTTGCGGTCGATGACGATGCGCTTGAGGTGCGAAAGCGTCATGGTCGAGCCACCCGGGTCCGGGTGGTGGATCTTGTTCCACGAGTGGCCGAGGCCGACGACCTTCATCTTCTTGCCGAGGGTGTGCGCCTCCTTCACCATGACGACGAGCTCCTCCTCATCGTGCGGCGCGAGGATCTCCGACGGGGTCCACGAGATGTCGCCCGCCCAGTTGGAGCAGACGACCTCGCCGAGGAGGCCCTCGGCGGCGCCAAGCTCGCACAGCGTGCGGTTGTGGAGGCGCGGGTGCGGGTCATGCGGGAGCTTGACCGCCGCCGCAAGCGACAGGAACGGGAGGAGGACGCGGGCCACCATTCCTCTTGTTGTTAGAATAGTAGTCAGGTTTCTGTGCTGAGTACGTACTGTTTCTACTTTAGTGGAACACGCATGCAAATACAAGTATTCCGCGGTTCCTATTCCACTGAAATCCCGCACAAAAATTGTTTTTTCACATCACCGCAAGGTCGACCGGTCGCTGGTAAACCGCCAGCCGCAGACAGAGAACCCTCCTCGTGGCGCGCAAAGGAAACGACAGTTCTGGCCTTTATTTATTTGATGCACATGGTCGCTCGAGGGTCGGTGTCGCATCCTGCCTCGGGAGTGGCAGAAGTTTGATTCGCGATTATTTTTCGTCTCGACAAAAGGCGAAGATTGGCTCCTGGTTCCGCGGCGCGGCGCGTCGCTCGACCGGGGTCGCGCTAGAGCGGGAAGGCCTGGGCGAAGCGGTACTGCTGGATCCGCCGCGCGAGATCGGCGTCGACGGTGAGGGCGTCGTCGTCGGCGATTGGCAGGCCGGAGACGGGCCATCGCCGGCCGCCGTCCGCGGACGCTGCGCTGCAAAAATCGAGCAGCGCGCCGCGGTCCACGCACCGCCCCCCCCCCGCCGGCGACGGCGACGGGTTCGTCCATCACTGCGCCTGTGAGCGCGCAGAGGAAGGCCGGCGGCGGCGGCGCCGCAGCCGACCGGAGCCGGCCGAATGTGAAGCCATCGCCGTGCGCCGCCGCCGCCGAGTCGCGGAGCGGCGGCAGGTGGTGCGGGACCCACGAGGCGCCGTACGCCTCGGCTTTGCAGTCGCCGTCGCCGCGCAATGAGGCGTCGTCGCCGCGCGGTGAGGTGCCGTCGCCGCGCGGCGGCGACGGCGGCGGCGAGTGGTCCCCGGCGGCGGGCGAGGTGGGCGCGTCGTCGACCGACGGTTCGCCCTTAGAGTCGGCATCGGAGTCAGCCTTGGATTCGGCCTTGGAGTCGGACACCCCTCTCTCCTCGACGGCGCCGGTCGGGTGCTTCGCCTCGGAAGGCGCCGGGGGCGCGTCGTCGTCGCCCTTGCCCTCGGCGCGCCGTCTCACCGGCGCGCCGTCGAGCGTCGTCTGGCGCTGGGCGCGCACTGGCGCGCGCGCCGACTTTTGGACGGTTGGGTTTTGGAGCGGGACGTGCGAGAGGAAGATTGGCCACGCGCGGGAGCCGCGGTTCACGGGCGTCCCATCGTACAAAGCCGTGTGCCGCGAGACCTGCGCGCGCGCCGCCCGGGGCAGGTTCGCCACCAAGGCGCCGACGGCGGCAGCGTTGGAGAAAGCCTCGGCGCGCCAGTCGGGGCCAAAGCCGCCATCAATGTTCACGTTCAGCTTGACGAGCAGCGCGACGGCGCCTCCCGCGCCACAGAGCCTCGGCGCTTCGCGGCGCTGGTCGGCCTCGATGGCATCGAGGAAGGCGCACGTCGGGTTTGCGTCGCAGACGGAGCGCCGCGCGGCCTTAATCTTAAACGTCACAACCGTCAGCACGCGCGCCGCCAGGACGGCACGGTCCCAGGCCGCATCGTCCCCGTCGTCCGCGCCGGCTCGGAGGCGGGCGAGGCACCGCGAGAGTATGGAGAGGACGTCCGGGACGAGAAACGGGCAGTCCGCAGCGACGTGCTGCCGCACCTTGGCAGTGTACTCCGTCGCAAACGCCATCATGTCGGCGAAGATGCGCAGCGCCTCGGCTAGGACGTCGTCGTCGCCGGACGCGAGGAGCAGCGGCAGCGCTCTCTGCGCGAGGATCGCGCGCGCGGCGTGGTTCACGTGGCCCGAAAACCGCTTCGCGAGCTGCGCCATGGCTTCCTCGTTCGGGCCGTCCAGCGCGTCGTCGCGGAAGTACGCCGTGGGCAGCATGCAGTCGCCCAAAGCCGCCGCGAGGTTGCGCAGCTCCGCCCGGTCGCCGCGGCGGCCATCGACGACGGCGCCGACCAACGCATCAATCGCGTGCCGCGGGCCGAGGAGGTCCACGACGTCGGCGCCGCGCAGCCGCCGCGCCGCCGTCGACGGCGCCGCGCGCGCGAGGAGCAGCACGAGCGCCGCGCGGCCGCGGAGCTCGAGCGGGCCGTCGCCCGCGCCGCCGAGGTGCATGTCGATGGACCCGTGCGCGCGCTCCAGCTCTGCCAGCAGCTCCAGATGGTGCGCCTAGACACGTCCATCTCGGCTCTGGACGGCCGCAAAGACGCTCGTCGGCTCCGGACGGCTGTGCGACGCTCCTTCGTCGTCCGACGGGGAACCTCC